TTCCCCAGTTGGGAGGATTCTTATCGAGTATGGTGTGGTTTGTTCCTTCCCCATCAAACATCTACCATTCTTTAAATTTCGATTCCTTCTTTTCATAATATCATGTTACGATCTAGTAACACCTCTAATCTTCGGCACTTGTATGAACTTACTGTATTGTAACTTTAAGTGCCGTGAAACTATTATTAAAACTTGAAATAAAAAATCCGTGCTGAACGGGACATACTCCCCCCCCCCCAAGCCCCCGAAGAAAGAGGGAGATAATGAAATAGACCTTCCCCAAAGCGTGATTGAACCAACTTCTTTTGCGCGAAGCAGACAAGAGCCTATTCATTACACCGCAAACTCCAACCGACATTATAGGCGAATCTGAGCATATCGCCCATGGAAGCCATAAAATATTAATATCATTTGTTTTATTCAAAAGGAAGTACAGTCGTCGTCATCATCTTCACCATTACACGATACAGTGCCACATCTGAATCAGACATCGACGAACAGGGTTCACCATTGATTTTCTGCTCAGATACTCAAAAAAAACCAAAACAAACAAAAACAACAACAAAAAACAAACAAACACCCAAAAACACAAAAACACACTAAAAAAACAACAACAAACAAACAAATAACTATTGCCCAGGATTTTCCCTGACAACCATCTATAAAGGTTTTCTGAAGTCAGTAAGGCTGCTCTGGGTCTACCCCTGCCACATGATACTCAGTACATTCCGATAAACGAAACAGCAAGCTGGTTTTCACACTGCGCTGGTATAATTTCTTGGCAATGAATTCCATTTCTTGGAAATCAATCCAATTTCCTGGAAATGAGCGGTTCTATGTTAACAGAGCAAACATGGTTAATTTCTAGATGTTATGCTAGTTAACGTTCACATTGCATCCGTATCATGCTCAAAGACAAACCGTTATTTCATTACTCAAAGTATTAACTTAAACAATCCAGTATATCAATCCAGGTTAATGGCATATTCATTAAGTTAATCTTCACTAAACGAAAGAGTTTTATGAAACTCTTTCAATCTTCATATAAACCCATAGAGTACTTTTATACAACTCCCATAAGAATCTTGCAAATTATAAACACACAGGTAGGTCGAAAAGAGTTATCATAAAATTTGCGTTGTGCAGGGACCGTTTACACAGCACTTCCCCAAGCAGTGTCCCACTGAGAAACACTCCTCCCCCCCCTCCCCCCCCAAAAAGTAAAAAATAAAAATAAAAATAACGCTTACAATTGTTCTGCAGATATGATACACCAAAGAGTACCACTTTCTCACTTGCACATAAACTCT